TTTTATAAAATTAATAATAAAATATTATGTTAGAACTTAATAGTTATCCTAATTATATTTTAGATTTTTTATCTTTAACATGAAATGTTTATCATATACTTGATTATGTATATGTGCAGTTAATTACACGAATTCAAATATAAAACTTTAATAAATTGTACTTATACACAATCTATTTGTAATTTTGAATTTTAATTAATATTTATCAATATACAGTATTTTATGCATAAAAAAGTTTTTAAGAGTTTTTTTAATATTTTATTATATAGTATAGATATTATTTCTCTCCCCTAAAAAATTATTTTTTATACCTAGTGGGAAATATTAAAATAACAATTTATTTCTCTATTAATCTCTCTTCTCTTTTCTCTATTTTAACATGCAAGATATAATAGCACTAAAACCCCTATTTTCTCATTTTTACCTATTTATTGAATATGTATTTAAAGGGTCATTTACCAAATATTTACCTAACCGAGTGTACATAGCAAATACCAAGAATCTTATCATGGAAATAAGGGTGCTGACTCTTTTTCGATGGGGCCATACCGGGTGATGTGGCTTACCAACAATCTATTTTGAAGGTCATCAATATTACCCAATAAGGTAAGTGAATATGATTATTATTTTTAATAAGTGTTTGGTAAACGACTCTTTAAGACTAGAATGAGTTCTTTGTCAAGTAATTCGAGTTTGATCAAGTCAAACCTTTTTAAAGATTAATTAAAAAAATTGAGTGGCGAGTCTTTCAGTTTCGCAACGTAGATGGTGAGTTGGAAGTCGCCTAACGAAGACACCAAAGATATATGGCATGTGAATGAGACAGGGAAGTTGTTTAGGAAGTCATGCAGATAGGTGATTAAGGGGTTGTTCATTTGTGGCTTAATGGGTTGTACAAGACTTATAGCTTATTCGCTCAGCAATAGAAAGTTGTTAGGTTACGACTTATTCGTTCAGTCGAGGGCTTAATTGGTCAGCTAGAAACCATGTATCCTTTACACTCAACTATTTAATTTCCCCATCTACCAAACCATGTATCTTTTACACTCAGTTGTTTAATTTCCCCATCTACTCTTACCACAATTTTTACCTCTTCTTTTGTAGCCCAACTCTACAGCCACCATTGCTCAGGATGAGGGAGAGACAACAGCAACAACACCGTTGTTTGATTGCACCTTCACTCGATTTCTCCATAGCCATCTTCTACTGTTTGATTTCTCCATAGCCATCTTCTATTTGTTCGATTTTTCTAATTGTTCAATTACCTCTGCTTGTTCGATTTTTTTCTGCTTGTCGATTTCTTGCTGTAATGTGTTTTTTCATAGCAGTTCGATTTCTTTTACTGCCATCTTCTACTTGTTCGATTTTGACATAGATGTTCTAATGTGATTTCTTCTACTTGTTTGATTTTGGTATTCGTAGTGGTTGAACCTCAAATGAGGCGGTGATTTCTTAAATTAGGTTAACTTCTTGAACATCAAAACTCACATAATTAGGTAAGTTTACGTAATTTTTTAAGGTAGATTTAGGTGTGATTGAAAATCATGGCAATATTTTTTTTGAATTGGTTATCGATGTTTATATTTTAATTGCAAGGAAAGGTTGAAAATAGAAAATGCAAAACAGTCAAGAATGTAGGAATAAATGACTAATAAAACTTAGAAAAATCCATTTAAAGATTTTACGTGAATGATTCATGGTAGGTTATTAAGTTTTTTGTGTTGATTATATGAGCATCCAAGTTGAGTTGTACGTTTAGATATTCCAATGCATATAACCCGAGATGTTATCGTATCGGATATTATTACTACAAGGAGGTTTTATTTCAAGTCTTGTGTGAAGTAACAAAGGCCAAATGGTCAATCAATGATTGAAGGTCCGATTTGTTTGGCAGTTGTTGAATGATTTTGTCCAGAATCATTAAGTGGTCAGAATGATCAAGAGACTCTCATTATATACTGTAAAATGAAATATAATTGTTTGTTAATTGTTTACAATGAAATTAGGGCTCTTAATAGTTAAGGGAGGCTCAGGATATAAAATCATTCAGAGGGTTTTAGAACCATTAAGAGGCAGACTTTTTTTGCCAAACAAGATTTACCTCTTAACGATTCAGAGATTGCCTCTTAATGAAACTATTAAGAGGTAAACAAACAACTCTCACTCATGTGCATAACAGAACCGTTGATATTTGCGATACATGCAGTGGGGAAATGCCTAATTCTCAAATATTTCCAACATCACCTATTAAAGGCTCAAAACCGAAAACAGAATGAAGCAGCAAGCTGATTTGGAAAGAAGAGATCAGGTTTTTGTTGTCAGTAATAAGTTGCCTACAAGATCTTGTAAGAGCTTGTGCAGTCTTAGTAAACTGGCTGAATTGTGAAGCCAATTTCTAGACTTTCCCCTTTAGGACAAGGTGAGAGGCATTGGCAAACCGTTAGCTGGGGGTATTTTGGGTAATTCAAGCATTATAGACCTCATGTCCACATAATACTTTCCGTTTCAAAGGGGAAGCATCAATCATTATATTCTGATTTCTACTTGGCAATAGCACCCCGCTAATCTTTTGTTTTCCAGAGAAGAAACATTAGACTTACTTCCATGCATACTAAACATAAAACGGACATATTATAGGTCGTTATCAAATATAACAACGCACTAATACGTTTCTCATAAAACCCCATTTCTACAAACCTAATTAGGTAACACATACACACACACACGGGGTATGATATAGAAGCAATCGATTGTGAAATAAATGTCTGTTAAATGTATAGATTGCTTGATGAATTGGTGTGGAGGTGCATAATTAGACGTGTAAATCATTAATATGTGTATTGTATCGTGTTAGTAGCGAATATATTCATTCATGTATCTCAAGGAAACTAATCAAATATATTCATGCATCATAGACAATCTCGACCTACCATAAACATTCGGAGTCAGTTGAGAATACCGGAACAGTCGGGTTGAAAACATTACATGATCTTTAAGCACCAAGATCACGCATAAAGGACGTACCTGGATGCAACTCATGCAAGAATGGCAAAACCACCATCTCCACAAACTTCTACGTTGCATATAGAACACGCATCTGGCAGGAACAATTGGCAATAAAACTATCTGCAACCACCAACCTCACGTACAGAAAACCTGCCTAGCTGCAAGAATTGGCAATGATCAAGGCTATGCAAATAATAGACTTATTTCGAGTAACTTGTAGTGGGATGGAGAACCCATTGTTTTGAAATACTCTCGAGCAAATGCAAAATGTGCAATTATCAAATTCCAATTCATCATGGGGGACACAGAAAGAGTATGAATGAATGAATGCAAATGAAGATGGGGATGTAATACTAGGTTACGAAGCCTTGGTGTGTTTGCCAACTCCTGCTAAATCGACTATGAATAAAATTGGTGGAGTCCACAACAATTTGAACCAAACATGCTCCAAACTAAAATTCAATACTAAAAAAGAAAGTAACTTTTCGAGCCCACAAACTAAAAACCTTGAATACTACATACAAGGAATGAAACCCTTCTTACCTAAATTGACATGCCAATGATGGGATTGGAACTGACCTCTAGGCTATCAGGAGGTCGTCCCAACCACCGCGACAAGCCCGACATGGCAACAAGTATCTAAATGAATTTCATCGATTGACTAATGATTACTAAGAACAAGCCACTAAATAATCTAAGCCTTTGAGCTGATAAAGGGTGAACATAGAAAATCTTAGTAAGATATCTGAAAACATCTCCCTGCCACCTGCAGAAAAAGGCACCAACTTCAAATACCTGAAAGGAACAATCAAGAAGATGATCCCAAACAGAGTTCAAAGATGAACAACCTGCACCTTCAGGAATAAAGGGGAGAAGAGGATCACCTGTCACCAAGACCAAATCAAGCAGGTTATGAGAATTAAGAAGTAAACACACAAAACAATTATATCCCAATAATCAAATTACCAAATACCAATAGGTTTTCTTTCACATTCAGTGTGTAATCGTTACTTCGTCCATACTTTTTTACTTTCTCTGAAGTGAGGGGAACTGCATTCACTGCTAGGGCTAGTCCAACTGAATGATTATGATATACCATCGTTTATCAGTTTACTAGGGTTTTCTTCTTTCCCCAAGAGCTAATGCCTTATCTGCTTATTGAGCTTAGAACCTCTTCCACACCATTTGCCTCAGAAAAACCAACCAGTGATGCAAAAGAGTTCATAGCCATGAAGGAGGGTGCTTTGACGCGCATGAATGTTCTAGAGAAAGCAATGTAGTGAGTTGATGAAAGCTATTGGTGATTAACCCAAGATTACCCTTTTTCCAAAAAGGTCCAAAAAAGCATGGGGCACCAATTTCATCCCTCAAAGCGAATACCCTTACAGTACTCATATCCCCCAAAAGAAAATTTGCATATTCAACATCCAAATTTAGATACAACTGCAGAGAAAGCACAGAAAACCACAAATTCACAAACAAAAAAAAAACTAATAGCAAGGACGCTGAAAACTGAACTGATAGAAAAAATCAGTTCCCATTACAGAAACAAGAAGCAATCATGTCAGCATTAGAATCTATTTACAGGTAGATACATACTTTCAGGGGATAAGACATTTGCAAGCGCTTAATTTTGGGTGAAATTTCGAATGGATAAGCTTCAATGATTTCAGATCAACAACTTCATGGTGAGGGAAAGTCAAATTCTAAAAATATACTACTGACGTTACCTCAACAAGAAAAGAGCATAGACTGATACATAAAACTAATAGCTACATTTGCACAATGAAATTCAAAAACGATATATGCAGCTATGAAATTAAACTGAACAACAAACCATTACGAAATTTAAATATTTATTTAACATTAGGCTTATCAATTACACTTTTGTTTTTTTTAACATAACAAAAGCCCTAACTTCACAGCACAGAAGCCCCCAACGGTAAAACCTATATCAATTAAGATCGCTACGAGCTAGTAAACTTGGTGACGGCCTTAGTACCTTCAGACACAGCGTGCTTCGCTAATTCACCAGGAAGCACAAGTCTCACGGCGGTCTGGATCTCCCTGGAGGTGATTGTAGGCTTCTTGTTGTACCTAGCAAGGCGAGACGCTTCCTGAGCAAGCTTCTCGAATATATCATTGATGAACGAGTTCATGATCCCCATAGCCTTGCTTGAGATACCGATGTCAGGATGAACTTGTTTCAGAACCTTGAAAATGTAGATCTTATAAGTCTCTACCGACTTCTTGTTCCTCTTTTTCTTCTTGTCTGTCGCTGACGCATCCTTGGGGAGCTTCTTCTCGGCCTTCGGTTTCGGTGCCTTCTCTGCCACAGGCTTCTTCTCCGCAGGCTTCTTCTCTGCCTTGGGTGCCATTGTTAGAGAGTTTGGTAGCTTCGTAGAGAGTATGGCAGAGAGAATCGTATCTGGTGATGGATCAGAGAAGAAAGGGGTGGTTTCCTTATATAGGGAGTGTTCTAATTTGATTGGTTGATTTTCAGTCACGCGGATCCAGAATATCCACCGTCAGATCATTGATGATCAGAAAACAGACAGTGGAGATTGAATGAAGCGGAAAATTAGTTTGGCGAGCGAAGCCACGTGGAGGGAGTTAGCAAGGTCTCGATGTGTCAAGGCAGTTCGGACTTCGGATATCCTTTTATTTATTACACCCCGACTTGTTTTCCCTTACTTTTTTAAGAGAAATTATATTATATATGTTTTAAAATTACAATTTTAAATAATGATTATTATATTACTAGTTGTGTATCCGCACAATGCAACGGGGTATAAGTTTTATATAGGTGTAAGTGAGAATACCGATTGACGATTATAACAAATAAACACATGATTGTCATAGCAAGATCGAGCCAAATGGAAAACGTTTTTCCTTTCGGTTTGAATAGGAATATGTTATTTTGAATGAATATAGACATATTTTTGGCAAAAAAATATTTTATAGCCGGCATGTTAACCAACAAAACTCATCTCAAGTCAATTAGTTATCCAAACTTTAAAACACCGACCACCAATATGAGATCGTCTATTAATGTTTATGGTTTGGAAACAACTACTGGATGAGTATACACATATAATTCCTTTATAAAGTCGTACTAAAATTTAATTTCAAACTCAATGTTCATCGTATAATATATGAATTGTTTCATTGATTTGTCAGATGAGCATGACAAAAACTGAAAATCTTACATGGTAAGAACGATAATAAGGATCAAGAGTTTTATCCGGTTAGCATTTATCAGGTAAATTGTTGCATATAATGCCATTTTGATAGACTAAAAGCTTATATGTAATGTAAATGTGAGTGTTGACTCTTAACATTAAGCACTTCTCTTTACTTATTTTACAATCTTTAGGATTTAGTGGTGAATGAACTAATTGTTTGATAAATGTTCGAATTTGTAAAGTACCTTGTATATATATTGCAAATAGGTCTATTAGACTAAATCATCTTGCAAGAAAAGTTCAAATGACACAATGATATGTTGCAATTTGAAAATCTCAGGATCGAGAGTCTTACTCGTTAAGTGAGAGCGATGAATTTTACCCGATAAACGTTTACTATATAAAAATATTGCATAGATGTCGTTCTAATAGATTAAAATCTTACCTGGGTCTTTTCCACCTCCTCAATTTCTTGCCAATTCACTTTATAAGAGTCTTTTCCATCACTTTATCGTGGGTCTGTGTCTGACTCTTGATGTCTAGATGTTACACTTTTGGTCATTAATTGATCATTTGAGGAGTTCCCGAAGTCACTAAGGGGCTGTTTACCAAACACATATATGGTAAGCACTTATCGGTAAAATTTAATACTATCATTTACTTACCGAGTAAGATTTTAGTCCACCAAAAAACGGTTTTGTATGCAACAATTTACCCGATAAGCGTTTACCGTGATAAGAGTCATCGCCCCCACTTACCGGGTAAGACTCTTGGTCCTTGTCTCGTTCTTACCGGGTAAGATTATTGGTCTTTACCATATTCATGCGCTTACCGTGGTAAGAGTCGTCGCCCTCACTTACCGGGTAAGACTCTTGGTCCTTGTCTCGCTCTTACCGGGTAAGATTATTGGTCCTTACCATATTCATCCGGTAAAAATAATATAACTTGATGTTCACTTATCCGAATAAGCATTTGATAAACAACCCCTAATATTCTAGGCTTGCTCTAGCAACACTTGGGTGAGTATTTTCATACCTAGTAATTGAGTAGTAAACAAGTGATAGACCCTTATTTACTTTTGAATTTGATTATATATACCAAGGTAGTGGATGGGCAATCCTTACTTGATGGTGCTCATATTTAGTAGGCATGTCTCATTGATTCACACATACATGGGGCACCATTGCCAATGCATTTTAGAAGTTTTGGACTTGGAACAAAAAAGTCATTATAATTATTCTGCATGTCACCTTAATTGGTTTTTTACTGCTCATTTCGTCTTAAAATTCATAAACCAGTGAGATCTTGAACCTATCTTTATGGCATAAAATTTGGTTATAGGAGGTGACTGCAGATCTTACATTTCTTGGCCTTTGTCATGTTCATCTGGTGGGTAAATACTTATCGGGTAAGCGTTTAGTAAACGGCCCCTAAGTCATTAATCAATTATTTTGTTACCTAGAAATAAAGAACTCAATCCTCTTAGAGCTTGTTCAATTAATAATAAAGAAAACTTGAATCTAGTACTGATCAATCATGGACAGGGAAGAATATAGAAAACATTAGACATGCAAAACATTCGAAATATGGTTGAACAAGAACATACAAGGTAGAAAGCATGAAACTGATGATTAGATTGAGAACAAAATCGATACAAACGTAATGTAGCGAGGGCTGTAAAATATGGTGTTGACAATACGTAGGGGTTGTCTTGAGAATTCCCTATAAGTGCAATATGATTCATAGAAATAATCTCATTCAGATCAAACCTACAAAAACAAAGTAAAGAAGTAGCTTTTTCTAATTGTGTACCATACTGTATGAGGAAAAAAAACATGTAGTGGGGGAGTTATAACTGAATTGAATAATGGAGAAAACAAATCAAAAACCATTAAAGACAAAACAAAGAGGTAAAACCTGGAGTTTGACTGAGATGCCCAAATGGAGAAAGGAAACCCTAATCAATCGAATTCAGTCAACAGTATGAAACAAAGACAAAATCCCAATTCAAAAATGTGATAATCGGGTCCTGGTTATACAGTTGAGGTAATTGTTATGTGATTACCTGATTATGTGATCACATGAATATCTGATTATTTGCTATAATTGATTATGTGGATACATGCTTACATGAGTTTAATACGTGAGTATGTGTATATTTTCATGCATATATTTATGAGTATGTATGTAACAAGACATTAAGACTTTGTGGAATAGCATGTTGGGGTTGTAAAAGCATTAAGAAGTTGTACAATGTGCTTGTGATAATGTAATTAAGATTTTAAGACTTTGTGCATCAAAAGGTAGTACCTTATGCATTTAAGGTTGTTTTTAAGACTTTTCTTAAATCCGGTTTATAAGGTAGTATATGTATTATATTATAAAGCATTTTCTATGTATTATTAAAATCTTAAAAATTACCACTTGTTATAAATATGTACATTTTGTTTTTGAAATTCATGTTTAAATTTCATACGGACATCAACAATGGTGTTTTTCATAACTCTTTTTTACAAATCATTAGAAGAAAAAGCCAAATACAAAAAGTTAGGCCTGTTTTGTTTGATGTATGATTTTGAGGGATTTAGATTTCGTGGAATGATTTGAAGACATTTGAATTTGGAAGAATTTGAAATCTTTGATATGTTTATTTTGAAGGGTTAGTTGTATGCCCGCACGATACAACCGGATGCCAAATTTTATTGTAAATCGAGAAACATACTCGATACATCTCACTCGAAATCAGGGTCAAAGTGGATAAAATGTACATATGCATTCATAACGTGGGACTTAACTTGTCATAATCGAACCATAAATTTGATTTTATACCTTTCTATCTTAAGCCCACCACGAGCGAGGCAAATGACATCAAGAGTTAGGGGTTGTTTGGTTATTTCATTATTAAGCCTTGTATGGATTAAGTTATTTGTATGAATTAAATTACATTGTTGTTTGTTTGTTGTGTTAAATAAACCATCTTAACAATTAAAAATGACCAATTTACCCTTAATATTTGTTTTTTCATTATGCTTTAAGTCTTTTCTTCCCAAGAAAATGATGAACCAACAATAGCAATGGATTTTTAAAATTGATAAAAACTTCATCAATGAATCCGTAAAAAATACTTAACCAACAATAACAACTCATTTCGTCGTACATGTTACGTGCATCTTACAAGACTTATTCATCCTCAACCATAGAAATGTCAATAAATCATTCATTATATATGTAAACCAAATACATTCGTATTCCACACTATCATCAAACCGGAATAAAACCAATTGCAATGGCATTAATCCAGAAGTACAATGGTTAATGTCAAAATTCCATGGAAATTGAAATTACATGGGTCAACTATAATGGCGTTCCTTAAAATCATATTCCTCAAGCATCTTATCAAAAAGTTTATTTGCCTCGCATCTCTAATGCAAGGTTTTTCTAAGCTAGAAAGTGCAATGTCTTGTAAGAACTACTATTGTGGAGAGGTTCTTATAAGAACCTAACATGTCATAGGTGCTTAAACAGATAACCTTGGTTCTTACCATGATTTTTGTAATAAATGACATTTCACTTATTTTTTATTTTTTGACTTTATATTACAATATATATATATATATATATATATATATATTACATATATTTATTTAATTTGTTTATGTGTAATATATATATATATATAAATATAATATTATATATATAATTATTGTAACACACACATATTATAACACACACAAACAAACATATTTCACTTACATTTATATATATATATATATATGTATGTATCTCTCTCTCTCTCTATATATATATATATTAATTTAACTTTTTGTCTATATACATATATAGAATATTATATAATATATATTATTAATTATTAGTCTATATTATATGTGTGTATGTATGGAGTAACCATCTGATTCTTTCATTCTCTCTGTAAGCATATGTAAGAGAGATTCATATCTTTCTTCTCAAACAAATTTACTAACATGGATAACAAAGGAAATGATGTTTTAGGTTCTCAAAACTCTCAATCTCTTCCTAATTTTGTATATCCTCAACAATCTTCATACTTGTCTTCAGGAACAAATCTTCCAAACCCATTTTACATTCCACAATACCCTCAAACATTTTCAAATGTTGCTCAACTTGCATCTTTCAATATGCTTCCTCAAAATTGGTCGGGTAATGCCAAATATTGGTATAACCAACAATTATTTTTCAAATCCATATATTTCTAACGTTGGTGTCTCCACAAATGATGAAGATCTCGTGTCATTGTCACCAATCAAAGTGGATCAATTTCCTTTGTATTCGACGCAACAAGGGTTGAACCATTTTGATGTCAATAAAGGTGTTATTGTTATAACCGGGTTTTCTACAAACATGGGTCAATGTAACCTTATGTGTTTACTATATGAATTATGTGATAGCATACATAATGATGATAATAACTTGCATGGATTATGTGTGCATGTGTGGTAATATGACATTCTGATACATATGGAAACAATAGACAAATATAGGCGGTTATGTGATAGGAGATTATTATATATATATATATATATATAAAAACCCAATACTTCATGGTTAAGAAAGGTTAGTTTTAAATTAATATCTTCCAACCGCCTAAGGACTTTTATACTGAAAAATATCCATCACCGCCTCATTCTTAAATATAAAAGGGAAAAGATAAAATGGAAATCGGGTCTGTTTCCTACCTTTCCAAAAGTGAGTGCTAAAAGAAAGAATGAGATTTTAAAAAGGCGGTGAAGGAGTTCTTGAAGAAATTTTGAAGGTGTTCTTAAAAGAAAGAACCTGCGTTTATTATTTGCAGAATCTTCGATTAAGGTGAGTTTTGATTACTGCTACTTATAACTGTGAATTTTATCTACTGTTTGATTTTTTTATAAAGACTGTTGAGTACTGAGGATTTAATGATTTAAAAGAATTTGGTAAAACTGTTTTAAAGGAAGATTTCGTGATTCTGGAATTTGAATTTGTTTAGAAAAGATTATACCAAAAATTGTTCTCTAAAAGCAGTTTTTGGAATAATACCCTGTTTTAAGAAGAATCACATGAGTTGGGTAATCATATATAGAACATAGTGTTCTTATGGTTTGGAAGGTTTGAATATAAAACCTGTTTTAAGATTATGATTGGCTAAAAACTATGAACGAGGTTCACTCTGACAGAAAGGTCTGCAGCCTGTCATTGGATGAAATAGTTCATAAGAATTTCAGGGGAAATAAGGATGGTCGTTGTGTGTGATGGATAGCTATTGCTATAAACAGGGGATTGATGGATGTAATAAGGATGGTCGTTGTGTGTGTGTATGATATAACTATTGCTATTATATCTTCTAAGATTACAACAGATTGTAGTTCTCACTTCTTTGTGATTTGAGAATTCAGAGATGTTGTTCTTATTGGAAATAATAGCATTGATGTTATGGTTACGGGAAAACATGACCTATGGCATTAATTTTGGTTAAAAGTATTTTAGAACAGAATGCTCATTTTTATGAGGAACCAGAGGAGCTCTGGTTGGTCCTCACTATTGGACCAGAGGGTTCTGGTTATTTGATTTAAGAAGTATGCTTGTTCTTAATAAACTAATAGGACCAGAGGCTCTGTATCTATTGATAAGAGCTTCTGTGTAAAAATCATATTTTAAGAAGTTTTAAGAGAAATGATTTTATACTTAGTATTTTCTACTAAAAATAGATCAGAGGGGATCTGGTCAACTTACACGTTGAACCAGAGGCTCTGGTTGGTCTTTTGAACCAGAAGCTCTGGTTAGTACAACCAGAGACTCTGGTCGAATAAGAACTCTGTATAACTATTCTTTAATGAAAAAGGCTATCTTATTGGTTGGAAGCTTAACTAAGGAACATTATAAGAAATTATATATGAGCCAGAAGCTCTGGTTAGTACAACCAGAGGCTCTGGTCGAGGAACCAGAGGCTTTAGTAGAGAGACCAGAGGGGCTCTGGTTCTGTTTATTGAAATATATTCCAAAGTATGGTTCTTGAACCAGATGCCCGATGGACCAAACATAATAAAATTTTCAACCTTCATTGCATGGAATAAATTATTTGAAATAAATGTTTTGGTGATCTTCACCCTGCATTACATAAAAGGGAACCTCACTAGATATTCATGTCTAACCCTTATTTTGTGTTCTCAAAAAATATGTGTGCATGTAATGATAATGAGAGAAAGAGCATTATGTGAATTACTTCCATGTGTGGTTAGCTATGTGAAGATCTTGATTAGCCATATTTTTGGAGTATAGATGCTAGGATACAAGAGCATGTACTTTTGGAATTTTTGAGTTATGTAATTTACATTATAAACTCTTGTATTATGGACCTAAGTGGGAAGACATGTATTCTATATATATAATATGTGTTATATGCAATGTACGGATGTGGGGGTGTTACAATTATTGACTTGGATGTTGACATGTGTGAAAGTGATAAGTCTCAAAAAGTAGATTGTGCATCTTGGTTAGTTGAAGAAGACAAGGTGCTTGCAATGGCATATGTAACAATCAGCACTGATCCTATTGTCGGTAACAATAAAAAAAATACAGCTTTCTAGCAGCGTATCACATCATACTACAAGATCATCGGCCTGCAAGAAGTTCAGAGAGATTAATGTCAAGTGCGAAAGGACATTTTTATAAAAAATATTTCCCTAGGTAAACAAATTTTCTGCAATTTATAATAATTTGTTTAACGATCGTACAAGTGGCTAAAGTGATGCAGATGTTCTTGAAAAAACATATGAACAATGGAGACGAAACAATCATAAAAAAGTTAAGGTTTTTAAGTTTGAACATATGTGGAGAATACTAAAAGAGAGCGAAAACTTTGCTCCTGAACCTTCTCGCCTTCATGCGCTTAAAATCGAATGATTTAGAACCGAATACTATTGTTGATCTTCACGACTATGAAGTCCGTACCCGTCCAATGGGAAAAAAGGCAGCAAAATGAAAGAGAAAATCCAAAGCCAAAGAGAGCATCATGTCAGAATGTAACACAGACTAGCAAGAGATTAAGGAATTTCAGAAAAGGAAATATGAATTGAAAAGGCTGAGATCTTACAAAAGGATTATAAAATGCTTATGAAGGATACCATGACTCCTGTTCAGCTTTCTTTGCATGAACACTTGTGCAAAAATCAAAGAAAAACATGGTTTGTAATATGCATGCATTTTGATTTGTATTGAGATATGGCATAAAGTACTAGGTTCTAGTATTTGTAATATGCATGCATTTTGGGTTGTAATGTAATTTGGCATGTAGTATGTTATTAAATTGTGCATGTTGTTTTCTACAAGGCATTATGGGAACCAAGGATAAAATAGTAGGGACAAAATACTAAAGGACAAAAAAGTAAATAACCAGGAGAATCATTCTGAAGTGTTACTATTTGGAAGAAAATGGCATCTCAAACACCATTCATGTTTATGTGTAATAACATTAACTGAAGTGTTACTATTTGGAAGAAAATGACATCTCAAACACCATTCATGTTTATGTGTAATAACATCAACCATCATGCATTTTTAAGCTGTTGCATGTAAAATTAGTGGATTGGTTCTCCATATGCACACCACCACCATAAAAGCAAAAAAATAAAATGAAAATAGAAAGGTTTGTATAGATACACAAGCAACCTTTCTTTTCCAAATATTTGATATAAATATGCAACTCAAACTATATATTTCTCTTCATTCAAAGATTTCACAAAGTAAACTTTTAAATTAATCATGAGTGGAAAACAAGAAATTCAAGAGTTTTGGATAAATGAGTTTAGAAACGACGTTGAAGATGAAATTGACCAAATTCAACTTCAACTTTTTGAGCAATGGCAAAACTATCGTGAAGAAGATCAAGGTTCTGCCAACCGAAAGAAGTATTTATACCGAGATCGTGAAGAGGGTCACATGCGGCTCTACAATGATTATTTCTCCTCTGACCCCGTATACGACATTGAAATTTTTCTACGGCGTTTTCGCAAGCGAAAAGAATTATTCCTTCATATAGTAAACAAGTTAGAAAGTCATTATCCATATTTTCAACAACGAGTGGATGCTCTTAAGAAAAAGGGATTATCACCGATACAAAAGTGTGCAGCGGGCTATTCGCCAACTGGCATATGGAATTCATGTTGATCATTACGATGAGTATCTATGTGTTGCTGAATCAATAGTGTTTGATTTTTTTTGCCAAGGTGTGATACAAATATTTGGTAAACAGTACTTGAGAAAGCCAAATGCTACCGACATCCAGCGATTGCTTCAAATGCATGAACAAAGACATAGATTTCCAGGTATGTTGGGTAGTCTTGATTGTATTAATTGGGAATGGAAAAATTGTCCTATTGCTTGGAAAGGTCAATTCACTCGAGGTGATCATGGGTTCCCGACAATTATACTTGAAGCAGTTGCATCTATAGACTTGTGGATATGGCATGCATTCTTTAGGATCGCAGGATCACGTAATGATATCAACATACTCAATGACTCCAATTTATTTGATAATGTCTTACAAGGGAAGGAACCACCAGTTAATTTTAAGATAAACGGTACACACTATATGAAGGGATATTATCTTAATGATGGTATCTATCTGGAATTTGGCAGCGTTCGTCAAGAGCTTCCTTTCCCACAGATGGAAAAAGGAAATTGTTTAAGAAGTGAAAAGAGAGTGCAAGAAAGGATGTTGAATGTGCATTTGGAGTACTTCAATCTCGTTGGTCTATCTTTAAAGGGCCATCACGAATGTGGTATAAAGAACAACTAAGAGACATTATAATTTTGCATAATATGATTGTCAAAGATGAGATTGAGGTGTTGAGTAACCGGATTGATGATGAAACAGATAACTCTATTTCAAGGCTCTATCCAGGAATTCCAAGAATATCTTCAACGAAATTATGAGAGGCGATCAAATGAAATGCGTCATCAACTTCGTGCTGACTTGGTTGAACATATTTGGCTTAATCGCGATTTGGAGTGATTTATCTACTTGTTAAAATTAGTATCTTTTTTATATTGCACTTTTATAATTGTAATTAAAATTTTGTGTTTATATTTAATTAATTTTCATATATATATGTGTGTGTATGTATGTATAATTTTTAATGTTAAAAGAATATATAAATAATTATTGGTGTTAAAAGAATTATTTGGACCCATAAAAAAAGATGTTCTTATAAGAACCACCATTGTGGAGTTCTTGGTGAGTTCTTAATTTAATGAGGTGAACTTGTGTAACATCTCACTTAAGAAACCCCAAGTTACCAATTTTATAAAATCTCCAATAAATAAAATTAATTGATTAACCTCAAAATACGGGATATTAATTTTCTAGAAAAAAAACTTCGAAATATCCGTTCTATTTTAGTGATAAAACCACCCAAAACACAATTCCAAACCGGCCATAACGGATTTTTACTTACAACCCTAATTAAGTAGCAAAAAAAATACGGGACATACTTATAACCGGAACAAGACTATGTACAAGCTACACTTACTACATCTAAGAGATACGGTAATAAGCTATTATTTACCAAAAGCAAGTTCGTAAACTTCAAGTCCCCCGATAAATCTTCAAGTCAAACAACGGGTTCTTTCTTTTTATCCGTCTTCTTTCCTGAGAGGGGTTGACACTTAAATGGTAAGCCAATGCTTAGTGAGTTAGATAGTTAAGTATTACATATCAATATCGCACATGTTTATAAACATACATAATAAACTCTTATCAATAAAAGAGTTTAAGACATCATCTAAATGCAAATCGAGACTTACAAGAAACCGAGTGAACAATTACGTATAGGATGCTAAGATCATATAATTCCATATTCAAATCACTATAATATATCATACCATTGATGTTCAATACAACAAGGAAATAGGATCAATAACCAAGTATATTCAACAACGTTAGAATACCAATATATATCAAGAACCAAGAGATCGAATCGGTAAACATAACGAGGACAGTGCATCACCCCGTACTTCACCTTCTGGGCTCATGCCAAAGTCCGAGTCAGAATCGTACATTACGGGAAACCTCGCACTGCCCGCCTTCCTCTACCGGGTATGTGCCAAGGTTTCCTACTCATTGCTCTTCCTCCTTTTTGAGCAATGAGTATTCACAACCACAAAAAGTCTCACCCGTCCAACTCAGGATCTTGACTTCGCCATAAACTTCTGGAGTGCCACACGAAGTAGTACCTGTACTATGGCGTACAATTCAAGGAACAAAACAACAAGTTCGGATCCGGAAAGCAAACCCGATGTAACGAGATCATAATATGGAATAGACTCAAGAGACGGAATCAAAGAAAAGTCAAGATCGTGTGACTCAATTCAAGATCAAAAACATTCATATGAAAATATATATATTCAAAACAATATGTAACAATTAACTATATAACTCATCGAGCAACCGTATAATACCGAAAAGCTCCGAAATGAGCTCACAAAGCAAGTCCAAGCTACCACACCTAGAATGCTTCCGAAGCATCAAAATATGTTCTAATTACCCCCTGGAGTGAATGTACAAAATCTCATAAGCAACCAATATAAGAAACTTTCATCATGTTATACACATATCCTATTTGAACACTTTACCTAGATTTCTATGTACTGCTGCTTCTTGCAGAACTATTTTTCCCATTTTAAACTCGAATTCATGTCTTGATCATAAAATAAGAAATAAATTAAACTCAATTATCTAAGGAAATTGGCCTTACCTCATTTGGATTTTTCTCTGATTTTATACATTTTTTCAAAGTCTGCACATTTTCAATGCATTCTTAAGTCGAAATTCCCATTTTCATACATTTTTTTCGAACCATTTCGAATCCAAATTATTCCAATTTCTGAATTTCAACTTAATATAACATATTTGACATAAACAACCAAAATCCAACCTTTATTTTATCATTTATATTCTCTCCCATCATTGACTTGATCAAGTCAAAGTTCATATGATGAACTTGCTTAAATCTTGATAATCTTTTGAATCTACTGATCATTTCATGCCATAAATACTAAAATGTACTTATTTTATGCACTTAAGATCAAACCCATATGAAACCCTAACTCTTTCTCAACATGCAATCCATATAACAAGAATGTCAACCAAGAACAAGTGCAAAGATGGATTATACCTTTACTTGATGATCAAATCTTTCAAAGATCTTGTAATTCCTCTTTGATTTGAGTTGAATCGAGCCTATGTGTGTGAAGATCGCACCTCTAGTGTGTGTGTGTGTGTGTGTGTTCTGGACTCAAAATGACATGAAAAATGGGCCAAAAATCCAATTTTCTATGCTAAAACCCGAGTTGGGTCGGGTTGACCAGACTATATACCCATTTGACTATCAACACTTAAAATATTCATAACTTTTCGCTTGGACCTCCGTTTTCTATGAGGTTTTCGCCTACACGTTCATAAAGAGATAATCTATAACATCCAACAAAAATATTCCAGAAAAGATCTCCCAAAAAATCAGTTTTACGTATCTATTTGACGTGAAATTTTCCCAAATCCTCTCATATATTTCTAAGAAGTATAATTCTAAAATTTCAAACCCAAACTCCCACTAAATTATAGGTTCTCTTATAAGGACATTACTAAAACACTAAGTAATATTTTCCACTTTGACATAACATGCATCACAACTTCTCACATAATATTCTCTTTAACATAATAATTAAACATACTTAGCAAATAATTTGGGCATATTAGAAATTGGATGTTACAACTTGAGGTGGCAATAAAAGGTGCCAAAAGGAGGTTCTTGTAAGAACCTCCATTGGAGATGCTCTTAGTTCTACAAAACTATCTTATATAATCAACTACAACGTTTCACTTGCACCTTATATATGATAGCTCTGCAAGGGAAGTTGAATCATCTAATGAGATATGTCAAAATATGCTTTTTTTTTCTATCAACATGCTCCTCTTTATGTTGATATGCCAAGATGCTTTCACAAAAGTTATAACCTTTATAAACTCCTAGATTATACAAAGCATGTACACTGTGCCTTCTTCCTACTCTTTCTAGGAGTTCGAATATTCTATCTAGAAAATGTTATTTGTGTCAACAAAATGGTATTAGAAGAGCTTTGCTGCAAAGCTAGATGCATTGGAAGGAAGGAAGCCAGGATCCAGAACTCTTGGGAGTATCGGATGCTTCCTGGTCAACCTCTCACAAACACCCAATTTCTTAAACAAAAAAACTGTATCCATACTTCATTTTAAGAGGATAATATTTAAAGAAATATATTAGCTCCTTTTTAGAAATTTTTTATGACGGGAAGTTAATAAAGTAATATCAATATGCTTGAAAATGTCTTACCGAAAGCCCCATTTTTCCCAAGAGAGAATGGTTGTCACATTGCCATGATCTAGAATCCATTTTTAGGTTTTCTCCTAGAAGATGCATAAAAATGTAACTGAGGGTAGTGCAAAACATTGTGCTATCACCTTCGACATGAAGTCCTCACCCACCGTCTTTGTTATATGTAAAGCGTCTTGAATAGAAGAAAATAAAATAAAATAGTTAGATTGAGGTGTAAATTTTCCTAATCCTCCCTTAAGAAGAGCGTGAAATTCTTTTTCCTTTCAGAGAACGTCCAATATACCAACTTATAAACTATTAATAACAAGCTATGCATATCTAAAACATTAAGAGAACATAGAAGATTGAATCTGAAACATTTGTCTTGGAGAACACCATCTTTTATGTCTTTGAAAACATAAAAGATTCTTGAATCTCAACAAAAAAAAAGAACATATAAGAAAATAAGAGAGGATGAGATAAACCATCTTCAAGAACAAATCAAAATATTGAATCGAAACAAACAATAAACAACCAAATGAAGAAGCCTCTTTGAATCCACTAAAAACCTATAACTTGAATTCTAAATCAAAAGATTTGAGAGATCCAAATTTCAACCTAAGCAAAATGACATATTACTTTCGATTATCAGAAAATAAATTTTTCATCCCTTTCGATTTACCTCTCAAACCCGTGACAGAAACAAGGAGAAAAACAAGTTTTATCGATGGAGGAAGCTCTCTAAGGGGCCCTTTACCAAATGCTTACTCGGGTAAGCTCTTACAAAGTCGCATTACCTTACCAGATGAATATGGAAAAAACCAAAATTCTTACCCAATAAGAAAGATGACAAGAACCGAGAATCTTACCCGGTAAGTAAGGGAGACGACTCTTACCAAAGTTAGCACTTAGCGGGTAAATTGTTGCATTGATGCCATATTAGTGGACTAAAATCTTACCTGATAAGTATGTGATGAGTGTAAAATTTTACCGCTAAAGGTAGCGTTTGGTACCCAAATATGATTGGACACGACTGGACTTGACAGAACTAGACATGAAAAGAGAGTAGGACTAGAGGAGACTGGACAATACAATTGTATGTCAGGTATTTGGTACGACTTGGACTGGACGGGATATAACTAGAGAAGTTACCCCCAAAAGTTATTGTATGATTTTAAATATTATATAATAGTTATAATTAACACAAACAAAGTAAATTATTAAAAAAAAATTAACTTTTAACTATTTTAACACAATTTTCATATAAATGAACACATACATCTATAACGGTACTAAATTTGAATGAAAAAATGGATATAATTGATAGTAGTAGTGGTGGTGGTAGAGGTGGTTTTGGTTATGGTGGAGGTGGTGGTGGTTGATGGTAGTAATGGCGATGGGCGGTGGTGGTCGGTGGCCGACAGTGGTTATGAAGGTAGAGATAGTG